TGTTCATTTTTTATTTTCTTTTATTTATACACGCGAACTTTTTCAAATTCATGTTTTTTTGAAACAGTGATCTTTTTCCAAATTCATGAACTATATTCAAATTCATGAAGTTTTTTTAATCGATGAACTTTTTTTTCAAATTTGCGGATATTTTTTTAAATACATGAACTTTTTTCAAATTCATGATTTGTTTCCAAAATCGACGAACTTTTTTCAAATCCACGATCTTTTTTCAAAACCCACGAGTTTTTTTTAAAATTGTGAACCTTTCATTTCAAAATGTGAAGTTTTTTTTTCAAATCCATGAACAGTTTTCAACTTCGCAAACTTATTTTTAATTTGTGGTTATTTTTCCAAATCTATGAACTTTTGAATGTCAACTGGTTAGGGCTCAACTTCCCGCAAAAAAGAAACACCTGATTAACGCTCATCGAACGAAGGATTCCGACCGAGCGAGCCAGCTGCTTCGCTTTTGTTGGGCAGGCCCAGAAAGGCGGGCCGCATGAGCGCCGGTTCTCCTAGCCGACGCTTAAGGAGCTGGGGTCTCACAGCAGCCGGTTGTTTAAAAAAAACATAAGATGCTAGCCGTTGTTTTGCCTTATCTCTAAAAAAAATTGCCTAAAAAGAACGGGAGCGGCTAGAGGTTTGTTGATTCAAAACAGTATTTGCTCGGTCGACTGACCACAAACCTGTTTCAGTCATTCTGGCTATTTTGATAGAATTGAAATCGGAGCGTTTACGGACTACGTCAACTGTTTGGCAAGTCCATTAGCAACGAATCTATGTAGCAGGTCTTTTAGGAGGAGTGTCCAAACAGTGCTCGCTTGGGCCATGTGCTACCTAGGGCGTGTAGCGTCTTATAAGTGCTTTGCATGCCACACACTAAAAATAATGTGGTGAGCAAGGCCTGCTTGCTGCATGCACATGCTGAGTCCCAAATATTCAATGCTCTAAGGCTTTTAGATGGTCAGGCCTTCAATGTCTCAAAAAAAAAAAGATGGCCAGGCCTTCAGATTTACTAAGATGTGCTGCATACTCCCTTCGTCCAGAAATACTTGTCACCAAAATGAATAAAAAGGGATGTATCTAGACGTATATTAGTTCTAGATACATCCCTTTTTATCTATTTTGATGACAAGTATTTTCGGACGGAGGGAGTACAAAACAAATTCAACAGAGGTACTACATACATTATTATCTAACAAAGTGCCCTACTACATATAACCTGCTAGCCTATACAATAACAAAATGTCCATAACTCCCAAATAGTAAATGCCCATAACTTGTGGTGAAGTCACTTTACAGAATAAATGAACAAAAATAAAAACAAAGAAAAAGATAAAGTTCTCAAGAAATAATGAATTAGTGGCATAGGTATTACCCTTCAAGAAGAGAGAACACATAAAAATACAACAAATAAAAATTTACATATAATTTACACATAAATTGCAATTTTTTAGTATGCAAAAGTACGCATAAAATATATATTTTTTGCAAAGAATAGTTTTCTACGAACAATGGATTAGTGGCGTTGGTAGTAACCTTAAAGAAGAAAGAAAATGAAAAAAAAACTAAGAAAATAAATCAAAATAAGCTTTTTGAAGGAAGAATGAATACGTGGCATTCATTCCATTTAATAAGGTAGAAAATGAAAATGGAGACTTTAAAAAAATTACACACAACCTTGCACTTAAATTGCACCTTTTGTAACACACAAAGAATAAGCATATAATAGTTCAATTTTCACACTCCAATATAATTTACACACATATTAGGTAGTACTTGTGCATATGAATCACACACACATTGCGGAAAAATCGAGTGAGTATATACCCATGCTATGGGGGGTATTAATTGATAGGCGCCTATTTTTTTGGGCGTTCAGTCAAATTGTCTCCATCACTCTCCGCCGCCCGGTCAAGATCCAAATGCCCATCCTTCTTCTTCTTCTTCTTCTTCTTCTTCTTCTTCTTTCCTCTATAATAATACTAACAAGATCCAAATGCCCATCCTTCTTCTTCTTCTTCTTCTTCTTCTTCTTCTTCTTCTTCTTCTTCTTTCCCCTATAATAATACTAACAAGATCCAAATGCCCATCCTTCTTCTTCTTCTTCTTATTCTTCTTCTTCTTCTTCTTCTTTCCCCTATAATACTAACAAGCTAAAACAAACCCCCAAAAAATGAAGTATTTTAGGGAAGAATGAATTAGTGGCATTGGTATTATCCTTTAAGAAGAAAGTCAATAAAAAATCTAAAACAAAGAATGGAAAAAATGCACAAATTTAGAAAAATTGCACTATTTTGTAATATGCTGGTATAAGCATATAATAGTGGATTTTTGGCAAATAGATGTTTCCTAAGAAGGAATGGATTGGTGGCGTTAGTCTTACCTTTAAAGAAGAAATAAAAGATATAAAAACTAAACTAAAATTGAAATAATGATTTTTAACAAAGAAGAATTTAGTGGCACTGGCATTACCTTTTAAGAAGAAATAAAGCAAATAAAACTAAAAAAATAAAAAATAAAGATTTTTTCTAAGGATGAATGAACTAGTGCATTGCAATTACCCTTTAAGAAGAAAGAAAATTAATAAAAAATAAATCAAAAGAATGAAATTTTCTAAGGAGAATGAACTAGTGGCATTGGTATTAGCCTTTAAGAAGAAAGAAAATGAATCAACGGCATTGGTATTACCCTTTAAGAAGAAAGAAAATGAAATAAAAATAATTATTTTTTAGGAAGAATGAATTAGTGCCATTGGTATTACCCCTTAAGAAGAACGAAAATGAAATACAAAATAAATAAAATAATGAAGTTTTCTAAGAAAAAATGAATTAGTGGCATTGGCATTACCATTTAAGAAAATAAAAATAAAAATTAAACAAAGTCAAAACAATGAAGTTCTTTAAGGAAGATTATATTAGTGGCATTGGTAATACCCTTTAAGAAGAAAGAAAATGAAATAAAACTAAAAAAATCAAAAAAATAAAGTTTTCTAATGAATAATATATTAGTGGCATTGGTATTATGCTTTTATGAAAAATGAAATTATATATAAAAAAATATTTAACAATGACAAAATTTGCACACAGTCGACACAAAAATTGCGTTTTTTCATAATATGCAAGAATAAACATATGATAGTGGAATGTGCACAAAAAATTATGTCCTAAGAAGGAATGAATTAGCCGCACCGATATTACTCTTAAAGAGGAAAGAAAATAAAATAGTTAAAAAAATAGAAATAATTAAGTGTTACAAGGAATAATGAATTAGTGACACTGCTACAATAAAAACTAACATAAATCAAGACAATAAGGTTATCTAATAAAGAATGAATTGGTGGCATTGATATTAACCTTTAATAAGAAAAAACTGAAACAAACAATGACAAAATTTGCACACAATATACACAAAAATTACACTTTTTAAAATATGCAATTATAATAATAATGGATTCTTCACAAAAACATTTCCTACGAAGGAATTAATTAGTGGCATTGGTATTACCCTTAAAGGAGAAAGGAAATAATATAGTAAATAAATCAAAACCAAAATAATAAAGTTTATAAGGAATAGTGAATTATCAATTAAAAATAAATACAACCAAAATAATTACTTTTTAAACAGAAACATAATTAAAAAATGAAAAAAAACTTTTACAAAATTGCACTTTTGTAGTATACAAACAACAATCATGTACTCCATCCGTTCCTAAATATAAGTCTTTTTTTAGACATCAAATGGACTACAACATACGGATGTATGTAGACATAGTTTAGAGTGTAGATTCACTCATTTTGCTCCATATGTAGTCACTGTTGAAATCTCTAGAAAGACTTATATTTAGGAACGGAGGGAGTAATAGTGTAATTTTCAGACACATTTCATAGTATTTTTTTATGCATATGCACTCACCCAACATCCCAAAAATTCCTACAAAAGAAAAATAAAAACCAACTAATGAAGAAACACAAAAAACAAAAAACAAAATAAGAAACACATAACAACAGGAAAAACAAAAAGGAAAACAAAGGGAAAAGGGATGTGCTGGGCGGTACAGGTCATCGGCTTCAGCCCAGTAGTGAATCGACAGCCCAGAAACTACACAGGTAATGGGCTTCAGCCCAGGTCAGTCAAAAAACATCAGCCCAAACCAGATCACAGAACAGCACAGAAAAAAACCGCACGAATCCCAGAGCCAGAATCAACACCCGAAAAACAACTGACCCTAAAGTGAAAAAATAAAAGCCGTTGCGTTGCTGAAAATAATTTCCCTATTCTTCTAGAGGGAGCCGTTCTAGTTCTGTTATTCTGCGGCGAGTTGTTGGGTGTATTGGCTTTATGCGTCATATGTTTCGTTGGGCTGACCCTACCTGAACGATACCTGACTTGACGGGTAACGATAGCACCAACGCTGGCTAGACGTAAGTTCTACGCAATGGTGCCATGATCCACTTCCTCCTCGATCATAATTATCTTTTGGAAAATCATGTGTTGCTGACAACGAAATCCAGAACCGTAACTCGGCCGTTTCATGCCGTTGGATTGAAGTTATTTCATTTCCTTCTCTGCAATGATTGCGTCTTCAAAGCTGGGTGCCTCCACTTACCAGTGTCGAGTGTTAATATAACATCAGATTCAGAGGATCTATCTGAACAATAAAACATTCGCGAGTCATGCACGGACACTTGTTTTCAGACGAAGATCAATAACACTTCACTTCAATCGTATAATCACAAAAACAAAGCAGCGAAATCATGTTATTGCATCGCATGCAACCTTTAAGAGCAGCACTATTAATACAGGAGTACATTTCGAATAGATCGACGACACAACCAGTAGAATTCAGAAAGATTCAGAGCTAGCATGACAACAAAATTAGGAAAACAGAACAAACACCAAGCCGAAGTACATATGCAGCAGGTTGATGCAGCAGCGCCGGCGAGCAAGAAGACGACGATCTCAAAGCGAGCGGTGGACGGTTGGCATGCATGGATCTACTTGGTGAACTCGATGGCGAATGCGTTGGCGTAGATGTAGGTGGTCTTGATGGCGGCGAAGCCGGCGCCCTTGGCCAGGCCCTCGAACTCCCTCTCGTACCTCTCCCTGCCGCCGGGGTTGTGCGCGAGCATGATCATGTCGACGTGGAACACCCCCTGCGCCTTGGGCGTGGCCTCCGGGTTCACCGGCAGGATGCACTCCACGAGCACCACCTTGCCGTGCGCCGGCAGCGCGTCGTAGCAGTTCTTGAGCAGCGTCGCGCAGTGCTCGTCGCTCCAGTCGTGGAGGATCCACTTCATGAGGATGGCGTCCCCCGAGGGCACCTTCTGGAACATGTCGCCGCCGACGTGGGTGACGCCCGGGAACGGCGGCGCCTCGGAGATGACGTGGGGGAGGTCGAAGTTGATGCCCTTGATGGCCGGGTACGCGGCGACGATGGCGCCCACGGTGGCGCCCACGCCGCCGCCCACGTCGACGATGGTGCCGAGGCCCTCGAAGCCCTTGTAGACCTCGAGCAGCTTCTTGGTGATGATGATGGAGTGGTTCTTCATCCCCTCGTTGAAGACGCGGTTGAAGCGCGGGTCCGTGCCGTGGTACTCGAACGCCGACATCCCGTACGCCTTGTTGAACGGGATGCCGCCGTCAAGGACCGCGTCCTTCAGGTAGTACCTGAGAATAGTATTCACACACACATTTTATTCCAACAACTCATTTCCACATCTTTTGAAACAGAGACAAAAGAGTTGCTATATCACCGGCTTAAAAGTCCTCTACTTTTGTTTTTAACATGAAAAGTCCTCTAGTTAATGAGCTGTGAACCTAAAATTCGTCCTTTGGTGGTTGACTATTACTACTCTACAAGGAATCTCAGGCAAGAAAAGTCGCCACGATGCGGTTCGGTTCTGCTTGGCTGCTTCCGAAGCTGATTGCCGTATTTGATACGTAATCTCTCGGTTTCTAGATGAACTCTTCTTCGGGGTTCTCTAGCTCGTGCTAACTTTAGTGCTACTACTAGTACTTCCTCTGTTTTTATTTAGTCTGCATATTAGGTTTGATCGAAATCAAATTTTGCAAAGTTTGACCAAGTTATAAAGAAATATATAAATATTTACCATAACAAATTTATATGATGTGAAAATACATTCAATAATGAATCTAGTGGTATTGATCTTTTATTGTATATGTTAATATTTTTGTTTATAAACTTAGTCAAAGTTTATAAAGGTTGATTTTGACCAAAGTTAATATGCGAACTAAATAAAAACGGAGGGAGTACTATTTATTACACTACCTGCTGCTGGAGCTCAATTTGTTTATTGAGAGAGATGTTAAAGAGAGAGTTATGCTGCCGGCTGCCGGGGTGGGCACCCCCGCATGATAGCCGGCCGCAGCAAATGGGCAAAGCATGGAAGAAACAGGGGATGCTGGAGTGATCGATCTAGCTCACCAGCTCTCCATGAGGACCTTGTCCTGGTTCATGAGCGCGAGCGCCGCCATGGAGACGCCGTCCTCGTTGGGGGTGAGGAACTTGCACACGGGCGCGGCGCCGTACCGCCGGGACAGGCGCCCATCCTTGCCCTCCTCCATCGTGCACGACACCACGTTGTACGAGGCCAGCAGCCGGAGCATGCGGTCCACCATGTCCGCCGCGGCGGGGTTCGCCGTGGACGGGAGCTTGGCGGCCACCTCGGCGGGGGTCAGCAGCTTGCCGCCGGCGGCCACCAGGGTCTCCAGGAGGCCCAGCTCGATGGCGTTCTTGAGCGTCATCGGGAGGATCGACGACGAGACGAGCTGGAGAGCATACATGCACGCCTCCTCGTCGGCGGAGGCGGCCATGTCGGTTGCGGTGGAGCCCATCTCTGCCTCTCCGGAGTCGAACTGCTGCCGCTGGTGGTAGTTGTGTTTTGGTGCGAGGCAGCGACTGAGCGATGAGGAGTGCTTTGGAGGGAGGATGGGAAAAGGGTTATATGGGCTTTTCGCCTTTACCAACCACAACACCAATTGGCTTTCTGGCTTCACCAACCACCGCACCACACCAAATGGTTTTCTTTTTCTTCTTTGTCTTCAGGGAAAGGAAGGGAGAAATATGGCACATCCGAAAGTTACACTCACTCCATCCAAATACATAGGGTCTAAGAACAACTTCAACGGGGCGACCTAAACGGACATCGATTTTGTTCGTATTTTATGAGGTAATAGCACCAGGAGTCCCACAACTTGTCCTAGATGTGACGATTTGGTTCCAAACTTGCAAAAGCCAACTATTGAGTCCCACAACTTGCACCCAATGTGCAAATTTAGTCCTAACCAATCAGACGACGACAAGTGGAGCCTAGTCAGCAGAGCCGGTCAGCGCAGCACATTTTGCAATTACCACCCTGGCCTTAGCAGTAATCAACTCGTACAACACCGCACTTCTCATTTCTCCCTTGCGTTACCTTCCAAGCCCTCCGCCGAGCCCCTCGGCGTCGCAGTCCTCGCCCAGGGCACGGCTGGCGGCGTGCACCTGCGAGGCGATGGCGTCGCGGAGGCAGCGGAACTTCCGCGAGAACTCGGGCGCTGGCGCGCTGCCCTTGGCCCCGCTGGCGTCTTCCTCCCCGCCGTCGCCGCCGGAAAGGCCTTGCGAATCCTCCTTCTTCTTGACCGACGCAGCGCTCTTCGCCTTGGCGTCCACGTCCTTGCTCACACTTACCACCTCGTCGAGCAGCTCCTGCGCCGCCCTAAGGTATTTGGAGTTCATCACCACCTGCCCCTGCGACGCCGTGGTCGTCGCCCCAAGGTGGTGCCTCCCTTCGTCGCCGGCGATGGAGGCCACCGTGACCGGCGGCGTCTCACGGGACGACAGGCTGAGCACGACAGCCAGCCCCACACTCCCATCGCACACCCCACCCCACTGGCGCGGTGCGTTGCCTCGCTGCACGGCCGGTGGGTGACTGGTGGGCGTGCCGGACTGGCAGGGAGACCGGCCGTGCTCCTCCACCACACCTGCCATTGCCATGCTCCCTGTCCCGCTGTGCCGTGCGCTCCCCGTTCCTCCCCAAAAGTTATTTCCCTTCAAAAAAATAAGGGGCCTTGCTTGTAGGGTTGCCTTAACCAAGTACTCTACTAACCCATCGCCAAAATCCAACTACTACGGCTGCAACCAACTAAAGAACCAGCTAAATTGTCTTCTAGATTATCGGCTCTACTTTGTACAGTTTGCTCGTCGGAATGAGATGTTTGCCGGCCGCCGGCGGTCGCCGGAGGACGTCCGACCGCAGGTGCGAGAGCTCCTTCCTGAGCTTGTGCGAGAAGAGCCTGCACGCGTCCATGCTCAGGTCCACTGCCGCCGCCAGCGCCACGAACGCCGCCGCGTCTTCCGCACACCCGACGTGCGCCACCCCGACCTCCACCGTGGGCTTGCTGCACCGCCCCTCGCCCTCCACCACCGCCGACATCATGAACCCGCGGTAGTTCCCCAGAGGCCACTGGCTGAAGTCGTCGCTGCCTCGCGGGCTGCAGCCCGGGGTGCTCCCCCGGCTCAGGGGCTGCGCGGCTGTCAGGTCGAGCGCGAACTTGCCGCCCTTGGACGCGGCGATGGTGGAGTCCGCGATGGGGACGGCGTGGTCCACGCCGGGGACGAGGAGGTCGAAGCGGTAGCCGAGGCTGGCGGACGACCCCGCCCCGTCCCGCCGCGCTCGCGCCAGCACTCGAGGCGGCCCCATGGCTCCCACGCGCCGTCGCCGGCGGGCCGGAGGATGAGCCACGCACCCGGGTTGGAGCGGGTTGATTACTGCTAAGGCCAGGGGATAATTGCAAAATGTGCTGCGCTGACCGGCTCTGCTGACTAGGCTCCACTTGTCGTCGTCTGATTGGCTAGGACTAAATTTGCACATTGGGTGCAAGTTGTGGGACTAAATAGTTGGCTTTTGCAAGTTTGGGACCAAATCGTCACATCTAGGACAAGTTGTGGGACTCCCGGTGCTATTACCTCGTATTTTATCTGTTTGGATCGCCCATCCACGCGTTCGTATTCGCTTTTTCATTTGGGTCTGCGAGTGCGCCCAGCGGTGGCCAGACCCATTTTCGACATGTCCGTTCTAACATTTCTTCAAACACGTAGCAGGCAGGGCAGGAGAGCTCGCGCCGCGCAGGGAGGCCGACGGGCGAGCTCGAACCCCATGGCGAGGGCGACATGGCGAGCGCCACGAGCATGGCGCGACGAGCGCGAGGGCGCGGCGGGGCGAGGCCAGGCCGGGCACTGTTGGGTGTGGCCGGGCGCGGTCGGGGTCGGGCGCGACGAGGCCTGGCGTTGCCGGGCGTGGCGGGGCCTGGCCTGGCGCAAGCGCTGCCGAGCACGCGACCAGGAGCGGCGGGGTGGGCGCGGCGATGGTGGGGGTGGTGACCAGCAGCGGTGCAGGGGACGAGGTCGGGCCGGGCACGCGAGCGCCACGAGGCGGCTGGGCACCGTGAGGCCATGGTAGCTCGCGCGGTGCCACAACTAGCTAGCTAGCATGCGGGACATGCAGCAGCCACAACCAGCTAGCTAGCATGTGCGACGCGGCCGCCGTCTAGTACGTCTTCACGTCTGCGTCTGCGGCCTAGGCGAACGATGCGAGTGCGGGCGGCATAGTAGCAGCTCCAGCTCCTTGGGCGGCGGCGTCTGCGGCCTAGCCAGCGCAGCCACGAGCTTGAGTGGTGGCGACGCCTGTGGAGTCTCGCCGGAGCAAGGGATTGGTGATGGCGCGACTGCTACGAGGGTGGTAGAGGCGAGCTGTACAGCGAAGAGAGAAAAAATAAAATAAAAGGTGGGTGGATGGCAGGTGGGCCAGAAGAGGCGTGCAGCGGACGTAGGCGGATGAGGAGACAGAAAGCGTCTGCTTTGTGTCCGCCTCGGACCCAAATGTGACTTAAATTTGAGACGGAAATAGGTCCGCACGAACATAGAGCGGACGCAAAATAAGATGGGTCTCAGCGTTGGGCCGTCTTTTTTGTCCATGCAGACCCAAACAAATATGGGCGGAAGAAATAGGTCGCTCCATTAGAATTGCTCTAATTATTTTTCAAGGTTACCTTTGATCATTGGTAAGATTACAAATACATGGAAGGTATGATATGGAAATTATATTCTTATAAGAGCGACTTCAACGGGGTGAATTTGACGGTATGCTTCGTGTAAACCCGTGGTCAAAGGCAATCTTGAAGAATGCATTAGCAGGCCGCGGATAAAAATGCGGGAGGCCACCATCCAACCATATCCTGTATATATCTGCTAGTAGATTCAAATTCAAATGTACTTTGATCCACACGGCGCGCCGAATCACACCAGCGTCGGATTGCATGCCCGGTCACAACCAAAAAGAGGCAAATATGCTTAGTTTTTACATGCCTGAATCCAAAAGAACATCAGTCCAGCAGTCCGTGCATTTCATCCCTGCCAGACCGACAATCCCAGCCAGCTGCTCCCCGATCAAGGAGGTGTCGCGCTGGCACGTAGGCAGCCTCCGCATCCGCGTCCACCTCCACCGCGTCCTCATAGTCCGTCGTTGCCAACTCATCTTTCTGCCGATGTAACATATGGTAGCGGATGGATAACACGATCATTCTTGCGTCGACATCCAAAGAGTCGACATTCAAGGTCAACATCTTGGCATCCTCCGCATTGGCGGCGATCTTCACCCTCTTTTCCTCGAGCGCGTTCATCCTCTCTTCGATCATGGTCCTCCTCTCTTCGAGCTTGAGCTTCTTGTCTATCGCCTCCATCAACAGTTTGAGCCTCTCCGCCTTGTTCGTCTCCTTGATGTTCGAGCACCTCACGCATGCCTCCTCCTTCTTCGCCAAGATGTCCTCAAACCTCTTGGTCAGCTTGGCCACTGCACCTTCTCGCTTCGCCCTCTCCTCCTCCCACCTCTTCCCCCGTAAATTTGTTCTAACCTACTTCGGCGGTTCTTGGTTGGGTCGGTAGGGTCACTGGTTCTTTCTCGTTGGCTTGGGCGGCGGTCTTGACAATGAAAAGGTTCCACTTCGGTTGCACGTTCAACTTCAACCAACAATGCATGACAGTGAAGGACTTCTTCTCCAACTTCTTGTATACCACACAAGCACGAGTAGGCTACAAAGTGAAACAATGTCAACAATGCATATCTGTTTAGCGAGCAACAAAACAATACATGTCCGGCTAGTGATCAAGAAAATTAAAGCATATCCAACTAGTGATCAAGAAGATTAAAGTATATCTGGCTAGTGATCAACTTACTTGCTCTGTGATTTTTGCACCGCTAGGCCACCGTGCGATGAGATGCTTCAAGTGCCCGCAATACTTGGACACGACCTCTTGGATGGTGTACCATCAATGGTTGAGGGGCTTCCATTCACAGTTGTGGACGACTGCGCCAGAGTAGGGCGTGGTACTTGTAAACTGTGTTGGGATTTTCCCCGAAGAGGAGGTAGATGCAGTATGCTACTTGTGAGCTACATTGTAATTTTCCGTGAAGAGGATAGGAGATGCATCATAGTAGAGATAAGTATTTCTCTCAGTGAGAACCAAGGTATCAATCCAGTAGGAGAATCACACAAAGCCTCGTGAACAACACCCACACACACAAAAGCAAATACTTGCACCCAGCACGGGTAAGAGGGTTGTCAATCCCCTTGAACGCGTTACTTGCAAGGATTAATTTTGATAGTGATAGATAGAAAAGTAAATTGCAAAATAAAATAAAGGAAATTAAATTGCAACAAGGTATTTTTAGATTTTATATATGATAAAGTAGATACGGGGCCATAGTTTTCACTAGAGGCTTCTCTCTCGAGCACATAGCATACGGTGGGTAAACAAATTGCTATTGGGCAATTGATAGAAAGCGCATAGTTATGAC